CCCCCCAAAAAAAGAGATAAGTCAGGAAAGGCTGGGAGCATTCAGTGCCTGGGGGTGGGTGGTGGGTTAAAATAAGGCGCTTCCTTCATTTGCACAACAAATGGAGACTCAGTCTGAAATCTTAACTTGATACTCCCAGGAGCATTTATGTCCTGCCCCCACATCCTCTCTTTACTTCTCACTCCTAGAAGTGTGAAGCTGGCCTTGACTCCTAAGGGTCTTCGAGTCCTACCCCCTTCTCAAAGCAGGAAATCTCAATGTAAAGCATCCCTGGGCTGGTCCAAAGGGGGGGATTGGGGTCCAGACTGAGGAATTTGGAACAGTCTGGTTTGCACCTCAAAGGTCCTTATCAGTGTGATCTATTTTATCTCTCACCTGAGTGATCTTTCTGTTCACACTGGAGATGTTTATTCTTCTGTGAAAATGGTCCACAGAGGTCTTTGTTTACTCACGTGCAAGGGTACCTACTTTACTAGCAAGGAAGGAGGCAGCAACGGAGGACAGCGGTGGAGGGGTAAGTTCATTGCAGATGCCCTGGCAGGAAGGGAAAACTTTGGGGTGAAGGTTGGAGAGATGGAAGGCAGAGAACCCCCCACAACTTTTCCCTCCTTTCTCCTCAGCCAGGGCTCTGCTGGGAATACACTGCATTGTGGGGGCAGAGACCCTGGAGTTGACATCGCTCCCTTGCTCACCTATACAGTACTTGCAGCTGCAATTTAGCTGGAAGAAATGGCTTTCTCTTTTTTGTTGAATACAATAAGTGGCATATTGAAAGAGCAATGCATCAAGCTAGCATGACGTTCGAGTTCTGCTGTGTGAGTTAGAGCAATATTTTTAAAGAAGACAAAAACAGAGAGGGGGGTTCTCCAACCTCTCTTTTCCTACCAAAAATTATCCAATACGTCACAAGCTTGTCACCTCTGATAACACTGCCCACAACTCCATAGGGCTGCAAAGAAACGATCCACACAGGCTTCACAACAGGAGAATTAGCAGCAGGAGAAACATTATTCAATAAACGAAGCCCAGATCCTGAGTTGCAGAAGGGCTGGCCGTGTTAGTCTGTGCAAGCATTGTAGGTGAAAAAGAAGACAAAAAGTTAAAAAAAAAACACAACACCTTAAAGACTAATTTTCCTTTCATGATGCCGACACAGGATCTCATCTCCACACCTCCACAGGAGCCTCTTTCTCTAAGGAGACCCTTCTCCACTACTTTCGTTTGGCTGGAAAAAGCTCCCTTACAATCTCACCTTATGGCGGCCAAGCCAACCTCAGAGAGAAATAGGTCACCAATTCATCAAGCGTGTCTCATAGAATCATAGAATAAATGCGTTGGAAGGTCCCTGTAAGGCCATGGAGTCCAACTCAGGACTCAATGTAGGTCTGTAAATTCCTCCCTCTGACAGAGGATTCTGGCCAAAATCCTCCCCAGAAACCAAACTGGGGGGCTGCTTTTCCCCCTTCCTTTTCCAAAGTCCTTTCATCTCTTTGCCAGTCAATTCTTAAAGAGACAGTAGCCCTTTCCCTGCACATCAGAAATCTCCCTTCTATATTATCACGAAGGATACCATGTCTGTGACTCTCATATTTTGTTTCAGTCTTCTTTGGTCCTTTGCCTCAACTTCCCCAGTCCTGTTGAGAGCAAGTCTCCACCAACCCTGAAAATAAATTAATAAATAAAAAGACACACTTTCTCCAAAGAGCCCCAAGCAGGATGAAATCATTGTGACTTTTGGGGCTGGGGGGGTGCCATTCTGGGCCAAATCTCTGAGATCTGTAGGCATGCACTTCAAAATGGCAAACTTAGATATTAATACAAGCAACCGTAAACACAATGACAACTCTCATTTCAAAAGTCACCATATGTGACTGCGGGCCTGTGTATAAGTTGTTAGGAGCCATCAAGCCACTTCTGACTTATCCTAACTCTATCCATCAGGGAATTCCAACGAGTCTCATCATTTCCCTCTTGATCAGGTCTTGCAAACTCAAGTGTGTAAATATAATCTATACTGTCTTCTCTCACAATCCTCTTCCTCTGTCTCTCCTTCTACAATCTATTTTCTAGAGTTATTGTCATTTCAAGTGTCATCATGTCATCTTCTGCTATGCCGATGGTACAACAGTCCATTATTCCTTTTTGCTCCCACGGAGAGTACAAGCTTGATTCAGTTTAGTATCTAGTAATTTCTTTTCCATCTGACCATTCACAATGTGTAAAGCTGTCTGTGAAGATTGCCCCACATCACTCCTGTCACTCATAGGCAGGATCTAATTTGCATGAGCATGAAGCAGGCCTTTGGAACTACAACCGAGGGTGTCTATCTCCGGACTAGATCAGACGGAAAGCTCTTTAATCTCTCTAGATTAAGAGTGAAAACCAAAGTCCATCTGAAATGCATGCGGGACTTCCTCTTCGCCAATCATGCAGCCATCGTTGCCCACTCTGCTGAAGACCTCCAACACCTCATGAATTGTTTCAGCAAGGCGTGCCAAGACTTTGGACTAACGATCAGCCTGAAGAAAACACAAGTCATGGGCTTGGACTCACCTCCCTCTATTACCATCTCCACGCAAGAATTGGAGGTTGTTAATGACTTTGTATATCTTGGCTCAACCATCTCTGACACCCTCTCTCTAGATGTCGAGCTGGATAGACGCACTGGCAAAGCAGCTACCATGTTCTCTAGACTCACAAAGAGAGTATGGCTTAATAAGAAGCTGACGACATATACCAAGATCCAGGTCTATAGAGCAGTGGTGGGATTCAGACGGTTCGCACTGGTTCCACAGATCCGGTACCTAATTTTCTATGAGTTCTGCAGAACCGTATGTTGGCCTGCTGAATCCCACCACTGGGACCGCCCCCCCCTTCCAGGGTCCAGAGGGGTTTCCAGGTCTGCAAATCCAATCGATCGGGTCCAATGGGGGCTGAAAGGGGTGGGGGGTTTGGACACGTGCGCGCATTCACGCGTCTACTTCCTAGCTATCCACTCCCCCCCCAAAAAAGAAAAGAGTTTGCACGGCGGGCCTCCTTGCGCGCGTTGTTCCAAAGGCTTCTCTCCCCCGCCGCTGGGGCTTGGCCAAGGTGACCTCCTCGTGAGTAAGGCGCACCCCGGCCTCCGCCTCCTCCCTACCCACCCACCTCCGCCTCCGGAGGAAGCGCGTTTACTCAGAAGTAAGCCTGTCTTTCTCCCCCCCACCACCCCTGCCAAGGGAAACTTAATGGGGAGAGTGGGGGGGGAGATGAGTCAACGCGGGCAGGCCTGTCGGCGATGGCGCCAAC